CCAAGTAGAAATCGAGTCGAAAAGAGCCTGCGAGGGAGAATTGTCACCGACAACCTTGGGAGAGAGTGACATTTCACGCACCTATACCCGAACCCGCTCGTCGTCCTTTATCTTTCCTCAAAGACCACTGAAGTTCCATCCTCGCAACGCCACTGGGACCGTGACTTTGTCGTCGCCTCTTCCAGATGTCAGCGCCAAATGTAGATGTAGAGCCCGATAACGCACCTTTCGTTCGCCCCCACGCCCATATAGCTCTCCTTTACTTTTTGCTCTACGACCTGCATTGTCGGAAGAATGCGTGGTGGACGAAGTGGATGGCCTAAAGGTCGTGGTGCGGAAGAAAACGCGTCACAGGATTTTGATCCTTGATTTGAGACGACTACTTTCTCTCTGACATTCAAGTGAAGCCCGCCATGCTCGAGGGCCAGGAACGCCATTGCAGTGTGTCAGGAACTAGTACTAATGCTGGCTCTTCTTGCCCTTCCCTTGCTCCGCTATCGCTCTCCCTTGCATGAACCTGAATGCAGCCGCCTCTTTGATATCCTCTGGGGGCCGCCTCGCCACGATCTTCCTCTACATCTGGCTTTCTGTCTGGGCGAAATGACGGAACTTGTCGCTGCTACTTCGCGCAAAGCTGATGACCGTGGCCCTCGTTGCCAGAGCTGATCATTGGACTGCCAGTGGCGCTGCGGCGAGGTAAGCGGCTCTTGGTGGCGTGGTCGCTCTCAGAAGGTTTGCAGTTCCGCCTTCTCCGCGTTAACGTTACAGTGCTCATGAGTATACTAACATGTCGCTAAGCCACTGATTTCTCGTCGTCATGGGTGGCTTCATTGACGAACTTGAAGAAGGCCACCCAATCGTCACGAAAGCTCAGCTGCTCCCATGATGATCAAGCATGGTTAAACGACGAGATCCGCCTCCCCGACTACTACCCTAGTACACTACTCCTCCCGGCTAGCACAACCGCGGCCGGAGTCTTCACCACAGTGGCGAGTATGACGCTATGACCCGTTCGGGTCCTCGACAACGCCTCCATCACCACATTCTGGTGCGCGCGTTTCACCGACTACCCCGTTCTCCAGTCCTCCAGCATGTTCTCGTGGTCCCTCGCCGACATTAGCCAGTCAATCTGTGGCCTTCTGTTTTGCGCCATCTATCGCATGCGGCATTCCCTTCCCCCGTCGAAATGCAAGTTGCTCTGGCGCATCTCTGCGTTGGTCATCACTATCTCTGCAGCCTGTCGTCTCCGTTCCCCAAACAAGGCTCGGTATAACAGCAACAATTAAGTACACTGTACTTGGCGGCGGCTCGAGTTATCCTACTTATCTTGCCCTTTGCCATGTTACGTTCTCTACCTCCAACCACGTTTGCAGACGTCGACTGGAGCGTACATTCCACACTTGTAACATAATAGATTCTTTGAAAACTACTGGAAACCACGAAAGAGAACTACATTCGAATTCTGCAGCAGGTACATAGATATATATCGTAGTTTATGTGTCCATTCAGAAGTGCAATGACGACCCAAGATCCACGCAAACAAGGGCTAACTGTCGAGGAGAGTCGATTGGAAAGGAAGGACGGGTGGGGAGAAGCCCAGCCTTCGTGTGTCGGGAGATATTGTTGTCTTGCTTGGGAGCTCGTCCGACTCGGATGCGCAATTCAGCAGTCCGCATATGCTGTCCTTCGTCAAATGCTTCACAACTCCCGCTTAAAACGCTTTCTCAAGCTCCCCTATCCCTTGAATATCGCCCCAAATAACCTCCGCCGACGCGTATGTAGCCCTTCAACAAAGAAAAGTCGCCCATGCCTCCCATATGGCGGTCGGAGAAAACGCGTTCAATGGCGGCATTCCCCGTCGAATGGTAGGGAATAAAGAGATAGGTAGGAGGGGACAGGTATGGGGCAGAACGAGATACACTCCGCAGAGCGCTAGCTGCCGCGTTGGGTAAGATATGTGGACGTTTTTCGGCGAGCGGGCGTGCACGTGACTTTCCATATGTGGACAAAATTTCGATGGGCTTGGGCGGATGGTGCAGACGTCGACAGAAGAGCGGAAGAGCTGAGAACGAAGCAGGGAAGTATGTATATGTTGCTTGGGAGGGGATATTGTTGTTCAGGTGGCTAAACGGGCGCTTCAGACATGGAAGGTGAAGTGAAAAGGAGACCGTACCTTCCAGCGTGCTTGTCGCGCAAAGATGAGATGGGTAGTCGTATTCCGGTCGGTCATTGCGATTCCCTTGACCAGGTGCAGGGCAAGGAGACGTCTGTGTCGGCTGGACGAGCGCAAGCGTGATGATGCTACGCTTAACCTAACCGCGCAATTTCGCTGTCGAAGGGCCGTCGGGCCTGCTTCACAACCACCAACGCATCTTCTTCGTGCCGTCGCGGAGATAAAACAAGTATCAGGAGTGGATATGCTATTAATGGCGGGGAGGACTTAAGTACTTGATCAATACATAAAAGTAGGCGGTCAGAGGTCGAATACGCACTTGACAAGAAGCAATATGCATGCAATACGAGAAGGATGACGAGTCCCGACGCTTTCTGACAGAAAGTGTTGCTGGAGAACGATAATATCGCGGTATTGCGACCTGAAATAAAGAGCTTGCGGGGGAGACTGTCAGCAATGACACTGAGGGAAAAGAGCGAGTTTTTCGCGCACCTATCGTCAAACACTTTCGTCGTCCGCTACCGTTCCCAGAAGCACCCAATCTTGTTGCTAGAGAATGAGAATGTCGTGGTATTGCGACCTGAAGGTCGAAAATAGCTTGCTGGGAAAGATTGTTAGCGACGACGGTGAGTGAGAAGAGCCAGTTTTCGCGCACCTGTCGCCAAAGCCGTTTGTAGTCTGCTGCCCTTCCCCGAAATACCCAACACTTCATCGCGGCATCGTTACTGCAGACTGACTTCGTGCTTGCTTGGATTTCGTTGTCGTTGCAGTCGGAAGGCTTCGCTGCAAGGTCGGCGGAGTGCAGAGCTCTCGGTGCTGATTGCTACACCAGAGGTCAACCCCGAATACAAGCCAAGGTGAGCAAAACGCACCTTGCCGCCCAACTTCACTTACAGTATCATACCAGGGACCTGCCTCTCGTCCAGTCGTTGCAGTGGCACACATGTCATCGTCGCACTGCGCTGTAACTCAGGTCAGTGAAAGGGAGAAGGGCGGGACATACACACAACTGCCCCAGTTTTGCCTCCTCAGCCAAACACGGTCTTCGCCCGGTTAGCCGTTGTCCCTTCGGCTTCGATTTTGAGTTGGAATGAGATGGGTATGCCGCGGGATGTGCACTGCAACGGCCGAAAGAGATGGATGGACATAGCGGTGAAGGTAAGAGAGAAGGAAAGTCTGATGCATCGTCGTCGCTGTGACAGCGCCATTTCGCTCGTTGTTCCTCGCCACCAGGACTACATAATCGTGCATTACAACATCCTTTTCTACTCTCAAGTAACTAGTTGCCCGACGCCTGAATCCCGTTGACCCCCATTTTTATTGTATCCTCGATTTCGACTGCTTCCGCTCTTGCCTGCGACATGCCCACCCGACTTCCGCCAGAGCTCTATGAGCCTATTCTTGCCAACATCTCCAACGAGGACAGGCGTACACTCTCCGCATGCTCCCTGGTCTCGACTTCATTCCGATACCCCGCGCAAAAGCAACTCTTCTCGGCTCTTCACATCGAGACCGGCTCCTACGACCACGCAGCTGGCCTCTTCGAAGCAAACCCACGCTTCGCGTCTTATGTAACCAGCCTCCACATCATGCTTAGATACAATGCGGCGGACTTGGAGGAGAACCACCCCGTTGTTGAGTCTGTCTTCAGGCGGCTCACCCGCGTTCGCGACGCTACTATCTACAGCCTGCGCTATGAACCACCATTGTTAAGCTTGAAATCAAGCCTTCTCATCTCGCTGCTGAGTATCCTACAAGCCCATGGACAGCTGCGGTGCTTTGCCCTCCACAATGTTCTTCTCACACACGGCCTGCTCCATCGCGTTCTCTCGGTTGCCACATCATCCACGTTTGCTTATATCAAAGTTGCCCATTCAGACACGTCTGGAACAGCTGTTTCTCCAGAGTGTGAGAAGCCACTCACAAATCTGAGCATTGCACAGAGTCCTGAATTTTCCACAACCATTTTGACGGACTCGCAGTTTCTGGAGTACATCCAGCAATTGCGTGTGCTGGAGCTCGACTGGGTTAACAGCCAGGTAGAGCTCTCCGCATGTTTCTCCTCTGCCGCAACGCTCGAGCACATATATCTCAATCTTGCCTCCAGTCAGCATCTTTCCTCTCCCATTTCTTCCAGTTCACACATTTCTGTTGTTTAGACCCAGCATCGCTTCTTGAACAACAGCTTATTTTCCCCGCCAAGCTCTCGCGTCTGCGGGTGCTAATCCTCAACATCGACTCATTCGATCCGCCTCCGGGCCTCGTCGCGCTGCTCTCTCGAGGTGGCGCGCCGTCACTAGTTCATGTCCAACTCACTTTCCAGCATCTCCCAGGCGTCAACGATGACTATCCCTTCATTTCCAGTGCTGCAACACTCCAGCTTCTTGACAATGCACTGGACCGCCACCCCGCCATCCGCATCGTCGAGTGGCATCTTGATATTCTTAAGTACTATCGACGGCATAACCCATCCTACGATCCGCCGAAGCGTGCTGCATTCCTCAAGCTGGAGGCGAAGCTCTGTGAATATATACCGAAGGCATTTGAGAAGGGGCTGATAGGAGCGACTACTAAAGGCAGGCTTCGATAGAATCGATATTGACTGTGGAGTATTGTAGGTAGAAATGTGAGTGATGTCTTTCCAACTTCAGACTTGGATCTATTTGGTGACCTGGAGTAGCATGCAGGTTGAGGATAGAAATGAGCACTACCGAGCTCACGCGAGCACTGAGAGTTCGCCGCCGGCGCACAAAACACAGAGCGCGAAGATGCCTCAGTTGCAACTCATATACTTACGTGAAAGACAAGCTCTCCTTTTGAAGTTATTTTACAGATGTGGAATATATGCGCTCCAATTAACATCGATGAACGCCTCTGGGGGCAATGAGCGCAGCGTCGACAAGGGTAAGACAATCAGAATGATCCTGGCCACGCAGTATGCCGCTATATCCAGCCTCACAAGCACTGCCCGCAATGTTGTCACATACGGCGCCAGCGAGCTGGAGTCCGACTCGAAGTCATCGATGTCTTGGGATATATACCGCACCGGGACCGTCCACAAGAACCAGATCAAAGTGACAGGAAGGGTGGTGACCAGCACGGCAGACACGCGCCACAGCCATTGCTCCGCAGCGGACGGGAAGAACGCGGCCCAGGCAAGACAGTGCAGGCCGCCAAAGACCGCGCCGAAGAGATATTGCGCTGATGTCGTGTGGAGGAGGTCATTTCGGAAGCTGGTATGGTTGGCGGTCTCTGTGTGTCCCCCCAGAAGGTCGGCACGTGTCTCGCATTCCCGGGCTCAAAGTCGTAGAAGTTGAACACCAGACGGCCCAGGTGTCGCTGGCACCAGTGTTTGCCCCTGATGGACCGGAAGTGCGGGAGGGTCGGTCGTGTGTAGTGCGATCTGCAGGGGTTCGCGCACGTCGAGCGGCTTTGCGAGCCAGAGCAGCCATGTGACGGCGTTGAGGGCCGCAAATGCGAGCGTTGCAATTTCGAGCTCGGTGAGCGGGAGATGTTGTGCCCGGCGGGCGACGCACTGCAATATGAACCACAGCCCTTGGCAGAGTGCGATTCCCTTCGAAAAGATGTCTCCCTTGCTCTTATCCTCAAGGGCCGTTTCGGGAACAGCTCGGATGGCGTGGACAACCCCAGGTTTGGACAGTTGCTTGTCGGTGGCAATTGGATGGCCAGCGATGTCGATGAAGCCGCCCATGACGATAAAGAATCCATGGGTCAAAGAGATGTCATACTCTGTATTGTTAGATGCTCCAATCAGGGCCAGGCCTACATACTTTGGGCAAAAAGGCGCGCCATTGTATATTGGCGGGTTGCAAAACCGATGATGAGCTCTGGTGCGAGGAGGCCCACTGCCATCAGCTTCATTCGTTGCAATATCGGCCCGTTTGCATCCACGAGGTACCAGCGAATCCACAGTTCCAGAGCTTGTCTCCGCGTCCTGGCCGCGCCGGGCGTTGGGGAGGGACGTTAGGGTGAACAGACGCCCATACACACAGAAAGACAGTGATGAAACAGCCCCAGATGATGTTAAAGAGTGTGCGACATGAATTTATGTCAGTACAGGCCGTGTCAAGAGTCGCCAAGTAGCTGCCTGAGCGGAGGGACTTGAGGGAGAGGAGGAAGAGCATCGCGGAAACATTCATGCTCCACAGCGTTAGGCATCGGAAATCCTGTGCAGAATCAGAACACCAGGTGGTGCGGAAGACTGTTGATGCCACGGCGAGAGCCTCTGCTTTCAGAACGAGAGCCATTTTTAAACTGACCAGTTTGATTAGAGAGAGAGATGTGATGGCAGAGAGGAAGATAGGGATGTAGTGCTTATTGGAAGATTTGCAGACAATGCGAGGACAGCCGAAGAACTGAGAGAATTCGACATCATGTTGTTTGCATGTCGAAGTGTCGCGCGGCCCACTGGGCCCAGCGCGGGAGTCGGAGTCTTATTCTCGACTTCCGCTACCGGCATGAGTACGCAGGATGCTTGCAGAAGGAGACTGGCGCCTCTCATCCGGGATATTAGAGAGATTGAAGGCTCTGAGGTGGGCGGAATCATTGAGGTCAAAAATAACAAGCGAACGTGTGACATGTCCTCTTTCTCTCTTGTCCTCCACTCCCATCTCCATCACGCCTCCAGTCGGCGGTCTCAACAGCACCTATTGCTCTACAATCGTCATCCGCCGCACTTGCGAGCCGTTACCTTCCGTCTGTGTGGTCAGCGACAAAACCATCAATGTCGAGTCAAGTATAGACTCGCAGTCTCGCAATAGGTGCGTCTCTTCCTATATGTTTTCCCTCCAATGCGACTGAGAGGGCTACAGCTTAAGCTATTCTGAATAGCAGACGGCAAAAGACTACCTCTACCACGACACTGGTCTGTGTGGCTGCGCAGACAACGTCGATTCGTTCTTCGCAGAACCTGCTTGGCTCTGAAAACCAACGCAATTGCTCCGAGTAGCGTATGTGTAGAGGATGAAGGAGCACGAGCTGGCATTTGGAATCTGCATCAGCGGGTGTGTGGCTTTGTCGATGAATCTCTTGTGAAATGCTAACCAGCCTTTTTCGCTGAAAGAGTCTTGCTTCCACACCAACGACGCCACATGTATCTACTCGAAAACCTGACCGACAACCAATCATTGCGTAACCCATTGTCGCGCCGCCTGTGGCCTTTTGAAGACCCGAAACCTTCGCAAAATGTTATATAGCCGGCACCATCGACACCATCAACTTCTACCATTCCGTCTACTGCAACACCATCCATCCCAGCTCCTCCTTTTCCCATCCGCGGTTAGAACGGCTGCGTGTCGAGGAGGAAATGCGGCACGTCGTTCGCGGCTCCACCAAGCGCCATCGTCCTCTTGTGCACGTCCTCGTCTGCGGTCCAGCAAGGCCTATTAGCGGAAAGCCAATCACTGCCGACATCTTGGGGCTCGGAGCGAAAGCCGGGTGGTGGAGCCGATCTTCATGTCGTTTGGAGCTCTGGTGGATAGTTTGCGGCACTTGGTCGTACTTAACTTTATTGTGCGTTCCACTTATTCTTCCTTCCGCCCGATACATATGGATGCCGCTTCGCCTTTTCTTGCCCACTATTTCTGACCACATTCATATCCACCATGCACTTTCTCCTCCGATATTTCGCCACAGTTTCCAATGACATTTTACTTCTCCACTCCCGCTTTGGTCATCCACAACTATAATCATAGCTCCCCTGCTATACCTTGCTGCCGTTGTACACACTATTCCAAGAATTGAAACAGACACGATTCAAATTCTTTCGCCCTCTGCAAGCGAATGTCTCAATTTCGAGTAGTCTTCGTTCGGATATGTGCCAAATAACACTGCTTACTAGTACCATTACAGGTTGCGATCATGAGACGGCTAAAGACAAGGTTCGGGTAGTCCTATGATGGTAACCTGGAACGTGAAGGTCGTTGAAGCCTCTTGCACCAGCGACACTTATAGAGTCAGCCACACTCTTCTATGGTAACGCGAAACCGACGTTCTTCCTCCCACTGTCGAAATTGGACCTCGAGCTGTTTACCTACTGGGCATTCGACTCCTTTGTTGGGATATAGACCAAGAGTGAAGACATTTGGCAGGGGCAGTGCCTTCGCATGCAACATCCTGCTGTGTGCGAATTCCTCCAAGGCGTGGTCCGTGAATGTGAAGCGGCCGGAGATCTCGAGTAAGCCGAGCTTGGGGACCAGCATCCGGTCCGGATCCGAGTGTGCAGAGACGGTAAGCCGGTGCAGCAGCTCGTCCGTCACGAGGGGCGGCGGACTCTCTCCGGTGTATAAGTCTGTGAGACACAGATCCTCTAACGATTCCAGCCGAACAAGAATATCGCAGAGCTCAGTCGTCCTGAAAGGTATGTTGACAATGAGACAAGTCAGGCATTGTCCCATATCTGAGCGGTCAATGAAGGCGCAGAATTCTATTTGGTTCCAGCAAAAATGGGTCGTTTCAGTTGACGTTCCCAGGATCAATGTCGTGACCTTGGGAAACACGAGCGAAGCCAAAATGTGCCCCAAACTATGAGTGGCCGCTTGTGCGTTGCTGACTGCTGCCCGGAACTGAAGCTTAAGCGACCGGCTCAACACCTGTTGGGGCGTCACCGCTGTCAGGTTTTCATTTGGTCCGAGGAACAGGTTGAGGAACAATGTGCTGCCAGACGGAAGGTTGTACAAGGGGACAAAACATAAGTCGGTCGGCGTAAACGGTATCATGATGTTAGTGGTGAACGCAAAACGTTGCAATTGGTGCCACGGCAGCGTGAACATCGACAAGTCCTTCGCAGTCCCAGAGAACATCAGACTCTCTAAGCGTGAAGCATTTGCGAAACAGTCGATGGTGTGGGAAGGAGACGGCGACTGAATGATATGAAGTTCCAGAGATTCTAAATGGTCCAGATGGTGGTGAACTGGAGCAAGCAGCGAAACCGTCTTGTTGTCAAAGTCCAGCGTGACATTTTTCCATCGACCCGAGTGCTCCACAACGAGTTCTAGTGCGCGAGAAATACTTCTATCTTCACTGTATTCTGTCCAACTGGCAAGCATGGCCCTGAACTGCAGTACCAGCAGACATTGACCACCTCTGGCCAAAACTGTGTTGGTCAAATGGAAGGCTTTTTGCGAGGATACTAGTGAGCGAGTCAAGAATGGTCCGTCAAGTATAAGCTGGCTCCAAAGGCTTTGCGTCGACAATGCCACCTCCCGCCAGTGGGAGCAAACCTTGACAAGGGGATCAACAACGACACCTGCTGCTCCGAGTCGTAAACCTGAGCTCACCTGCATGAGAGAATGGAGGTTGGGATTGACCAGGTTCCGTAATGCCGCGGTAGAGTCCCTGATTTCCTCCACGGTGCGGTACATATCGGCACGCGACGCCTGCACAGTCAATTCGAAGATGGATGCCAGAATCTCGGCCGGGAGCTGGCGGATATGCGACGAGAGGAGACTCCGGCACTGAGATGCATAGAGGAGAGCCCGCGCTCGTTCTTCAGTGACTGTGCAGACCAGTTCCTCTAGTCGGGCAAGGTGAGCGTCATAGGTGGCAATAGTCGCAGAAACAGCATCGAGTTTGGCGGAAATATCCATGGGAGTAGGAAGGTTTGAACGAGTAATGTAGTGGAGGTGCTCGATTTGAGAGGCAGAAGGCAAGCTGAGAGCCTCCGGGCGGAACGAACAGAGGAAACAGTTTGTCATAAGTAATGGTTATTGGCGAAAGTGTGCCGATCACATGACACCACCCATTCTTCTTCGACACTTCCACCACACATGGCCATTTCGCTCTTCAAGAATCCGTCGCTCTCAACCATACCCATACTAGGGCTTGGTTTGTAAAGATTTTGGAGGTTATCAAACGGTTTGATAAAAATAGCCTCTGAAACCCTGTTTATAAACCGCTTTTTAGGTTTTATAAACCACCTGAGCTGATATGACCGGAGAAATCAAAATTACCATTTTGGGAAATTTTTTGCAGCAAATTTTGGTGTTTTAGCTTCATAACTTTGAGATTCATAGACATTAGGGGTTGAAACAGCAAGGTTATATCAACTACTAGACAGGGCTGGGGCTACGCCCCAGCTTTGAATGCTCCTTAAATCAAGTGAATTTCTAATCTAAAAAAGACCCACTAATCACAGAATAGCACACAGGTGCAAAATAACCCTCCTGGTCTACTATCATCTACATAGATTGCAACGCAAGTCAATAAACTTTATTATATACTTAGTTATTGATTTGTGAGAGTAGTTGGTACACTTAAGTGTCAGCATAGTAAATAGCCCGAGATATGAGGTTTTTATGGTGCTGGGTGCAAGATATCATGTACAGCTTTGTATCCCAATTAGGATTGGTCACATTTTACAGCTTTTGTTCCCAATTTGGGGCTTTAACAGCAGTGACGCCAAAAAAGGAAATGTGGAGCAAATGAATTACTGAGGCCAGTGCCAAACATGTGCATACATTCACACGACATCTGGTTAATATAAGAGTAATAATCACTTGTGAGTTTGCATAACATGAATTAGTTATATATAACATGTATAATTTACTTATCAGCAGATTTTAGAACCCCTGTCATGAATCCTTTAGAACACTTAAACATCATGATAACCTTGATAATAATTAATCTGTATGGTTAGTATAGTATAGTCACACACCCAAGCTCCCAATACTTACTAGGATTAATCATGATCAATATGGCAATATTAGCCGAAAGTGGGTTGAGATCCTACTTGATAAGAAACAATATATTATACTAGACCTATAAGATATGATCAAACCTACTAGCAGTATATAAAGTAAGTCTGGTTTGCTAGCTTCTTTCCTTTTTGGGTGCTGACTAATATAAAACCATAAAACAGGGGGTTTCCAGCCAGGCTGTTTATAAACATATAAAACAGGGGCGTTTATAAACCGGTTTACAAACACCCCTATATAAACCAAGCCCTAACCCATACCTACTCTAGGCCCACGAACAGCCATGTCTGTTTTACAGTTCGCTGCGCGAGGACCTACTAACTTCCCTAAGCTTCGCCTCATGATCAGCGGACACTGTTTCTGCCCAATGCTCCGTGGCACAACTGCTGCCACAACTGATATGCGCAAGCTCTTAGAGGGCAAGAGCTCAGTGGGATGTTACTGGGGAGCGAACTGCTGGTCTTCTTGGTGCGCAAAGCGCGGCCTCCCTCGCATTTTTGCTCACATTTTTTTATCTCCACAGATGCTCTCTGAATCCCTGCTTGACGAAGACAAAAGGGAAAAGGCACCCCCTTACGACCTTGCGCTGTCTGAAACGCTTGCGTGTCCCCCGAGAACGATCTGGAAACAAGCCACAAGCGGTTAGGGTGGAGAGAAACTCAGAATGAAGCGGTTCAAATATGTGCATTGTATTGTTCTCTCAAAGCCAGTCATATACTTACTTTGCTTCCAGGCAGGCTGGAAAGGCCAAGGCCATAGCCGCCCGGTAGCATCATCGACGCAACGCAGGGAGCCAGATCAACATGTCCACCAACACACATATCATCTTATGCCCTCCCCTACTCTGGCAAAAAGCTTGCGTCTCTTCTCATCGACACACGGTGGGCCAGAAGCGTTGCATTCCTCAGAAGTGAGACCTATTCTCGCCAATGACCACCCACCCTGCCAAATATGTATTCCCCTTCCACGACAGCCTCTCGCTCCTCTACACAAGCGCCACCTCTTTCTACTCCCGCCACTTGCGGAGTAGACACCCTCTTCTATGACAATCTTTTCGCTGCCTCCTTTGCAAGTCACATCCGTCACCGTCACGCTGCCTACATCCGACTTTGCGGCTGTCCTCTTGCTACCCACGCCTATCTCGAGTGTATCTCATGGTGCATCACACATTCGTCAAGTCACCCAATTCTTGCCAGGCGCCAAAAATGGTCCTTGTCGATGCCATTTTTGACAACAACCACATTTGCACTTAAATCAACTTTGCACTCGTACGACAAGCCACAGCGTCTTGGAAATGTGCATCTTTACGTGTCCTCGCATATGCCTTGAGGATCGTCAAGGTTTTTGGACGCGCTTTGGCACCGCCTTTGACCTCTGCGGGTGTTTTTGGCCCCTTGTCACTATTTCTCCACCCTTTACTCATTCCCCCCACTATATCTTCCATACGCTCTTGACGTACTTCTTGCTTTCAATCTCGATATCAATTGTGCTTGCTCTCGTTATGACGGTCGTTACTCTTACTCTGCATACATCACCGACTTAACTTTTGCCTCCAAGTGGCTGCCTCTACTGATTATGCTTCATCTGAGCCTTTCCCTTACGAGTCCGTCAACAAGTCCTTTCACGGAGATGACTTGATGAGGTGCTCGAGGCGACTTATTTACGACGAAGATGACGATGAAGGACTGGCGCCTGGATTTGTGCTTGCAAACATTCCGTGGTCGAGGCTTTAGCGCCGTCATACTTGAAGCACTGGTAAGCGCTTTCGCAAGCATTCCCTTACGGCCAGCCAAAGACTGTCACGAAGAATTCAAAGGCATATTGGTAGGACCAAACCAGCAACGTCGGCATGTATCGAAGGGCCAGGCAGAGGAACGGGAGCAGCAGGGAGCGGTTGCAGAAGTGCGGAGTCGTTGCAGGATGTATATGTAGCAAGAGATGAGGAATTTAATGAGAGAAAAGCGGAACACTTCCATAGATTGTCCAAGTGCTTCCCCGTACTCGTAGTCCTTTGCCAGCGGCCAGCTACACCTCCGCAACTCGAGCGCACCATTTGCCAGTTGTCCTCCATCCATTCACTTGCGACCCTTTTTGTGTCCCTTGTTGCCATCGAGCCAGAACCGTGATGGTGCTCTCCATCGATGTTCTTCCTCCTTTTCAGCCCTGGGCCAAACACTGGAGTGTGCGAAAGATCGTGGCCTGACCGGTCGCTGACCGGTCAGCCCGCGAAACTTTCAAACGTTAGCAAGAGACAGACTCTCTCCAGGGACGACACACCATCTGAATCCACCGGTACCATCGCTGCTAGCAAGTGGGCTACTTCAAGTTGACGCTCCCGCAGAGCAGCAACCACAGTGGAGGAGCCAAGACGTCGTTGGGTAGTAGCTCTGGACAAGATGAAGAAGTCGTCTCGAGGAAGCAAGCGGGAGGAAACGTACCAGCGACCATAGGTCCATTGACAGAGCAGCCCGCATTTTCGAGTTCTCTTCCGCTATCGCATCACGGCTTGGTCCCATTGTGCTACAGACAGATGTCCGCCACCTTTACACTTGAAGGCTGGAGGACCAATGTGCTGACTGCCGCGCCGAGCATCTTTGAGTGAAGGTAAGAGGAGAGTGCTGTCACCGCGTGACCGTCCATCGCTTTGACCACAATGAATGCAGCAACGTCAACCCAGTATCCTACTTGTATCTGCACCTTCAAGCCGCCTCCCGCCCCATCTGCCGCCGAAAGAGAGCGAATCGTGGCCCTTCTTCGCTCAAGCCAACCGGTTCCCCAATCCACTCATTTAGAAATCCTCGCTCAAATCGATGACGCTCAGAAGGAGGTTGCCAACTACGATACACACATTGCAAACCTGGAAGGCCTGGTGCGACAAGCAACTGCAGAGCGAGACAAGCTCTCCGCGCATATCGAGCTCTGTCGCGGGGTCGTTGACTCGCCGATCCGCCAATTGCCCGCTGAGATCTTGGGTCAAATTTTCGAGCTCTGCGTCCTGACGCAGGAGCATGGGAAGGATATGCTGTCAGGAATAAATTCTTTCACGATTGCGATGGAGCGCCTGGCAAAGCCAAGCCTTTTCTCCTTGTCGTTGGTGAGTTTGCCAACCATTCCACACTGGATCTACTTACAAGGGCATAGGTCTGTTTGCGATGGAGAGACGTGACGTGGAGCACAAGCAGCCTTTGGAATCAGCTCGTCGTTCACGCAGACATCTTATCCTGGAAATACGCCTCGCTTGCCTTGCTGGAGCGTGTATTAGCTCGAGGGTGTGGGCAGCCTCTGGACTTTCAAGCTTCCTGCCGTGGTCAAATAGAACCACAGGGACACATTATTCGAGCCCTCATGCGGCATTCACACCGCTGGCGACGTGTCGCGTTGCATGTCACTGAGCACACAGCTCTTCCGTTGCTGGAACGCGCTCTGAATCGACTGGACGCGTTGGAGGTATTGGATCTGGACATAGGCTCACTTAATGCCTCGGAGAAGTTATCTGCCCCAATTCGTGCGTTTTCTGCGGCCTTTCATCTGAAAAAGCTCTCCTTTTCCGGTCACATTGGAAATCTGCCTATTCTGCCTCCGAGCCAATGGCGTCAACTTACTTTTCTTTCATGCCGAGTGAACCTGAATAGTGCAGACCTTGCAGACTACGCGACAGAATTGCTCGCCTCGCCGCTGAACCAACTTCCAGAAAACGCTAGCGTGGTGTTCAAGTTCTGCTACGATCCTCTGCGCGGCAACTGGGAACTGCCGATAGCACAGAACATTCCCCCAAGTAACCCAACAACAATCCTTCGAGTCCACAGCTTTACACTTTGGATGTGGGCATCGGCCCGTGGCACGATCGATGATCATCTCCCCACCAGAAGCATACTATCTTGTCTCTCCCTTCCGCAATTGACAAGTTTGACGGTGCGCATCCCACCCCACGACCACCGTAACCCGCCAACTGCAAACTGGAACCATGCAGCGTTCTGTGCCCTTGCGGAGCGTTCCGGCTGGGCCACCAGCCTTACCACTCTCAAAATAACAGCTGTCATGAGTGACAGAGAGCTCAGTGAAGCCCTTGCCCACCTCCACAGTCTGGAGTATCTTCTTGTGGACACGTCAAACACTCACTTTCCCGCACTCTTTACAACGACTGTTCTGCAAAGGCTTACTGTGCCAGACCGCTCCGTGGACGCCGATTCTCAGATCTTGATTCCCCGCCTCACGCACTTAAGCATCGGAGGCGATCTCTGGATAATAGAGCGGGTTTTGAGTGACTTCGTGGAGAGCAGGATCCAGTACTTGAATGCGCAGGAGCCGCCGCTTGTATTCACTCTGGAGCTGTTCCCACCGAAAGACGCCCGCGAAAACTCTCAGTTCCATGCCAGGCTCTTTTTGCGATTCACGGAATGGATAGAGCGGAAGCAACTGCGCTTTACTGTCAGAGCAACAAACTATTACTACTAATGAATGTGTAGTAAGAAGACATAACTTGTAGTTGTCCATTCGAGTGAATCAGTATACGTAGAGAAAATACATGGGAGCTGAATTGAAGGTGCAAATAATGTAGATTAGGAAGTAGGTGATGTCCGCACCCATCGACACCAGTTGTCGGCAACTATGGAGGCTGGTGAGCTCATAGGATGACAGATGAAATTAGAGGAAATTGAACAACGAAGAATAGTAAGGGGGTGTTAAGGACATTGTGCAGTAAAGTAACAAGTGAAGTAGAAGTAACGATGGACTGTAAACAATACAGAGACAATTCTGGGCCAAGAAGAAAGATACAAGATATGCGTAGCAGGGAGCTAATGAAGTGGATCGATAGAAGAGATAGGAAGAGAAAAAGAGAAGTAAACCTCACGAGTAGTCGTAGTACCAAGGCATCGGCATCGTTGTCCGTCGCGGTCTTCATCGTGCTTTCCCATCCAGACCCACCGCACCGAAGGGCTCCAAGTCTGACTCCACCCTCTTCCCTTCTATCCACAACAGCTCGAACGATTTCGACCCCAATTGTGCAAAATTCCAGGGATGCCGTCGACGATTCGGTTCTCGTCGTAGTCCATCCCAAAGCCGCAATGCCAGATGAGCATTGACCCAGGAAGAGCGAGGCGGGGCTCGTAGAATCACGAACGACAGGCACAATAAGCTGCAAAATCTCCTCCTCGACACGTAACAATGACGATGACGTCTCCAGCAGAACAGAGGGTGGGCTGGATGGAATGGATGCGAGTGTGGCGTATGATATGAGAGAGGTCGAAAACCCATAGATGTGGACGATATGATAACTGGTGCGTGTTTTCGATGAATTGTGGGGGGGTATTAGGTGGGTGGCAACTATCTGTCGATGCGTGGGTCGGTATCGCAGGTTGGGCCTCAGACGTAAAGCGGTGGAGTTGGTGTTAAAGAGAAGAATAAGAAGAGCTAAATGCGCTCGTTAGCAACAAACCCTAAAAAAGGACAGAGAATGACAAACCATTGATTCGCACACACCAGAGGCATCTCCCCAACAGGCTCTGCCATTCGTTTGGAAAGGTGCGCGCGTTTTTGACGGCGTTGTTCGTGGCGGTACAGATAGCGTGTCTCAGAATGGGGATGCTACTTTCGGTAGGAGTGGGAGCAAGAATAAGACAGTGCCACAAGAGGGTTTGTGGGGCTCATAAGCATCTTCAGCGACTTTGGAAGCGAATGTGGTTGCAAAGACGCACCTATCGCGAAACTACTTGCTAACCCGTCTTCAAGCTCCATGAGTACATCGTTATTTTCTTCGACCAGCGTCCAGACTTATGACCACAAACACTGCGACGGAAGGCAGTAGCCTCCTTATGCGTTTCCGACTACTTCTGAGAGCATATTTTCGATGAGTTGTGGGAGGTATTAGAATTGGCGGGAACCATCTGCCAGCGTGTGGTCGGGTATTGACGGTTGGGCCTCTTAGACGTAAAGCGGTGGGGGCTGGTACAAGCGAGAAGAAGAAAAGCTGAAGGCTCGTCAGCAAGAGCGCCGAAAAATGACAGAGAACGACCCACCATCGATTCACACACACTCCTGAGGGATGTTCTCAACAGACTCTGTCGTTCGCTCGCAAAGCTGCGTCGACAGCAGTGTTTGGGGCGGTATAAGTAGTAGTGCGTCTTGGAATAGAGATGTTCGCGGGGGGAGTGGGGGCGAGAATATGACGGAACCACAAGAAGATGGGTGAGACTTATGAACATTTTCAGCTACTTTGGAAGCAAATGTAGGCGGAGACACGCACCTGTCGCGAACTACTTGCTGACTCGTCTTCAAGCTTCATATTGATAATTTGACATGGTGTTTTTCTTCGACCAGTGTCTAGACTTTTGACCATGAGCACGGCAATGGAGGGCAGCGCCTCCCCGTGCGCTTCCGACAACTGCGTCTGAGTGCCATTGAAGACGGTGGGCGGTGTCGTAGATGGAGCACAAAGTGGAGAGGAAAAGTGAAAGCAGTGCCGTCACTTTCCTGTCACACATCCGTTTCTCGTCTTGGGCGGTCAACGCCGGCATAGCGGGACGCCGACAATACCGGTACTACCTCAACATCTTTGTGTCCAGCGTCGTCGACTGAAGCTGCGCTAATATGAAGCTGACGCTAACCCACAATCATAGCTCAACTTTGGCTTGTATATCACACTCCTTCCTATGCTCTTCTGAGGCCGACATTATCATTGCAGGAGTTTCGGACTGGCTCCATGTCCGAATCGGACATGGAGCCATCGTTGCCTACAAGACATATAATGACCCACTGTTTCTCGACTACGCGATCCAGTCGTGGTGGGCAGCAGTCCCGTATACCATCACGCAGGCGGAACTTAATTCAGGGGAAATGGTGTCGAAAAGCTTCGACTTGAGCCCTTCGTGTCAAGGAGGTGAGCGATTGATTTGGCTGACTTTGTAGCTATAGCTAACATTAAATACAAGCTACTATGGCTGGCGGGGCATTCTGGGTTGCTCTTTGTCTTGGGAGGTTTTCCTATTTGGTCTAATCCGCCATAGAACAAGGACCTGGAGAATCCCGATAGTCACTCACCCTGTAGTAAAAACAACGATATCGGGATTCTCCAGGTTCACAGTTATATCATTCCCTTACGATATTGGTACTTACGTCGAGGACAGTAGCTTCTTCATGTCTGTCCCCATTCCTCCCGCCACTATTACGACCAACTTCCTATAGCCTCTCCGCCTTGCTCGCCGAAGCCACGTCAGACCCGCTGTACCTGTCCGCGGCCGGCGTCCAGTCTATGTCGTTTATCCGCTCACATCTCTCCAATGCCCAAGGACTTGTCTTATATGGCATATCAGCCCGTGCCAATGACAGCTGCGCCATAAACGCTGGTCTCATGTCCTACAACTCTGGTCTCATGATCGAGGGACTGGCCGTCCTATACTCGGTCTCGAAGAATGCGTCTTATGTCAATATGTGAGTATCGTTGTCGCTCCTGTGGCTACATTCATATATTTAGGCTCGATGAACTCATATCAGCTTCGTTTGCAACGACAAGCTGGCAAAACAATACTGGAATCATTCGGCCTGGCGACGGGTCGATTCCTCGCGGGTTGACAGCCGCGGACCTGCGTAATGCGACCAATCCTTCCGTGAGACTGTCGATTGCTTCGTATCTTGCCGTCCAGGTATGTTGCTATAGCTTTCGAAGCAGTTGGGCTTACCAGACTGCGTAGTTCAACGCCGTTGTCGACCTCGCAAAGCAAAATGGTGGGGACATCTACGGCGGAGACTGGCACGGGCCCGCCGGCGTCACATTCGACATATCGTCCCAGATCAATGCAATTCAAGCTTTACTCAGCTCTATTACGCTCGATGAACCTGTTCCATCCTCGTCTCCGAGCGCGAGCAACTTTTCCCTCTTGTCGTCTTCGCCAACGGCCACCACCTCCGCTCCTCCTGGCCCATCTCCCGTAGGCAAGACGTCCGTTGGTGGTCTGGTCGGCGGCATTATTGCTGGAGTTGCTGTACTCGGATTATTGGTCGTTCTGCTTCTCTGCTGGAGGCGGAAACGGCGACAAGATCAGTTCCAGACAGCCGCTCTCATCTCCCCACATCCTGCCCTCGGTATGGTAGACGCGTTTACAAGCTATCATCCTTCCAGCCACTTGGCCAGCCAACCAGCGTCTTCCCACTCTGCTTCCGAGCCCCGCAACCCTAAACGACCAGACAACCTCGGTGCACCTGTTCGCAGAGCTCCATTGCATCCCCTCAGTTCCTCGGAGTCCTAGTTAGTACCCCCACCAACCCTCATTTCTGAGACAACACACTCAAGCTCAGGCCCGGGCTTGCCGCCATTGCCTCGCAAATGACATGTACTGGATGACGGCGACGAGCAGCAAACGATGGAGGAAGTACATGAGGAGCTGCCGGAATATCGTGCAGCTTAAAAGGAATTCGTGGGGTAGAGTTCCTGGTCCGAGTCTGCGCTTTATCACCTCATATTAATACTAGTCGTAGATGTCCGAATGGACACTAATATACCATCAATACGTTTACTTATTGTTGACTGTCTGTAAGTTGATATGGCAAATGTGTAGTAGCTCATCGTTCAAGTAGAGAATTGGTGTGAATAAAAGCAGGCCGGCGATTAGCACTTGAGTGGTGGGCAAGACGGATCGACACGTGATATCTTCTTCCGCTCCTCCACCACCACAGATGTCCACTTCGCCCTCCCCGCCCCAAGCACCTGTCTCTCCCTTCTCCCTTACACCTATACTTGTCATCCGTCTAGCCCACGAGCAGCCAGGTGTGTGTTACGGCCCACCACACGAAGTAGTTCTGACTTGGCTTCACCTCAGCCTGAATGGATTCTATTTCTGCATGATGCTACGTACTACCGTCTCCACCGCCAACATACGTAAGCTTTGAAAGGGCAGGAACTCAGGGTGACCTGGCCGCATGGCGAATCTCTCCTTGGTGCGCAAAAGCACAATTTTGTCTTCCTCTCTTTTCTTAAACCTTTTCTCTCCGTAGATGCTTGCCAACTCCCCCATTCAATCGCGACGACGGGAACAGGCCACTTGTATCAACATCAACTTGCGAGCCTCGTGCTGCTCGGAAGCGCTCGCAGGTCCCACGACAACGACTCGAAAACACGCTCCAGCCTGCGGGCGGGGACGATAACCTTGCTGGACCGCCTACGTTGTGTTGCTGCTGCCACTGGGCGGCTCTGGCATTGGCGACTTCCAGACTGCGCGAAAGCAGAATGACTCTGCTACCGGTTGCGATAACCAGACGCACAAATCCAAGCCGCTTCAGACGGAGTTGCTCTCCGCCCGCACACCACATTATACCATTCTCTACCTCCTCTACACCCTCGTGCCTATCATGCGGCGTGTTCCTCGAACAGAGGACTCTTCCCGCCGATCACCACTCGCAACTTTCCCAAATACTATATACACCTTCCACAACGTTCTCTCATCATGCAAGCACCACTCCCCGCTGCTCTGGTCGTTTTCAGAGTCAGTGCCTGCTCATACGAGTACTTGCGACATTTTTTGTCGCCTCCTTCGAAGGTCACATCGGTCACCGTCACGCTGCCCACATTCGAGTTTGCAGCTCTGCCCCTGCACTTCCTACGCTTCTACCGACCATATGTCATGGTGCATTACATGAAAAATAAATCGTCGAACTCTTCCCAGGCTCTGCGATGAACGAGAAGGCTCTCGTTGGCGCCGTTTTCGACAATGCCCACATTTACATCTGAATCGACTTTACATCCATACTGCGAGCCTTGACCACGCGAAACCCTGTATATTCGCATTCCTGTGCATATACTCTTGTGCTTTTGCACGTTAGCGCACATCATTGGGCCCCGCGTTCGTCCTCTGCGGTCGTCTTCGGCACGTTGACGCTGCAAATGATTTGGAGACTCCACGGGCAAGTTTCCTCGCAAAGAATCTTGAAGGCTCAGCAAATTGAAGGCCCTTCAATCTGGGTATGCAAGTTTTTGGCGGTGGAGAAGCATATGGACTGACACCTATGCGTTCGGACATTTTCATGTCCTCATTGCCTCAATCGTTCCATACATATGCGCATACTTACACCCATCCTTGATACCTATAATTCGCTTCTCTCCACGCTTACTCCACTCTCAGACGCTCTTCATAGCTATTTTTCCTGCATTTTCAGGCTCAGAATCTTTCCCTTACCCATGTAGTCGGTACGACTTCGCGGCTGTAATACCTTTGGTATACCTCATTTTGAGCTTGTTCACGTTCAACGCACGCCGCAAACACACACATGACGCAGTTATAGATGTCTCGGGGAGGATATATTGGTGCTTGAGTCCAAGCGCTCGGTGGTGTAATGGTCATCGTCTAATCAACTCGTGATCACACATCTTTGCCTCCCAACACTCATCTACTTGAAATGCTCTCAGAAGCGCTCTGCCCTCCCCATATCGTCGCTCCCATTGGTTGCAAACCCTCCAGATAAACCTCGTCGTCGCAACCGGAGAACCGAGCCATGGTCTTTATGCAGTTAGCTAGGCTTGAAGGTGCGTTTGCCGTTAATCTACCCTCGCTATCGATACCGCTCTCTGACCTTATGAAGCTCTTCCCTCCCATCGTCGCCGCATTGGCAACAGCACTCAGGTCACACGCAAACCGTCTCGCTCCTCGCTCTAACTGCCGGCGCCACTCGTATCTCCATCAACCCCAACGGCGGCGGCACTTATCCTCGGCTCGCACAGCTGGCCGATGGCAGTGTTTTAGGCACGGCCTTCCGCGGGTCCACACACATCTTGACCGTCACCCACTCTACCGACGGGGTAAGGACATTCGTGGCGTGGGCACAGTGGCGACGGGGATCGGGGACGGGGACTTTGACAACATGAAGCAGTTGCCCAATGGCGATGTGCTCGCGACACTTGAAAACCACGAAAGGAATGCCGCGGGGCTTATACTTCCCATCGGGTGAGTTTTGCTTGTTTTTTCTCAAGCATATATTGGGCTCATTTTGTCCGAGATAACCGCAAGACATGGAAATTCTTGCCGCTAATGGACCAGAGGACGCCAACAGCAGCAAATAACGGGCTCTGGGTGCGTGGTATTCGCTCCAGAAACCTACTCTGAACTAGTTTGTAGGAGTCCACGTTTCGAAGAACTGGGCAATCCAAGTCTACTACGCTGCCGAAAACAGCGCTTCCGACCAGGACATTTCTGTGCGGTCATCCACAAACAACGGGGCGACCTGGTCTGCTGCGACGACGGTTGCTGGTGGGGGAACTATACTGGGCAGGATGGAGGCTGCACGGATTTCACCACCTCAGGCGGCTCGGCGCGGGTTTGATGCATATTCGAGACAACAAATGGGACAACACCGTTGTTTGCTGTCAAGTCGGTCGTCAGCAGCAACAACGTTTCGGGGAGAACACAGGTCCATGCGACAGCCTGAGCTGGCCATACTGGTGTGTTCTGAGTGGCTTTTGTGGATATCACCCAACGATTTCAGCTGGCCTGGCGCTCCCCAAATTGTTCCCACGCCTACGGGAATTCTGGTCGCATTGTTCATGACCGACGAGGAGCATTCGGGGAGGAAGCGTTTGGCCGCAAGGGCCTTCGCCTTCGGCTCCCAGGACTTCGTCTTCGTGAAGATTACCACCGCATCACGGATTATCAGACCCTGAAGTTCCTTGTGGCAGAGAGGGCTGCTGGTGAAACGGGAGTGGAGAAGACATCGATTATGACCACTTCCCCCGCTCAGCACGTTTCTCTCCGTATGTGCTCTTGTTTCGCCCCCGTCTTGGCGCTGACAGTAAAGCAGGACATTCTTCGTTACTACCCCTTCCTTCCGCTCGCCGGTCGTATTGCTGTCGAGGACTCTGTTCTCCTGCTGTTGAAGCTGGTCATCACGAAGTTTGGCGCCAGCATCACCCAATTCAAGTTGTCGATTCAAAAAGGGCAGGATATCCATTTGGCTCTCGCATCGTACCCTCGGTGAGTATGTTATCCTCCTCCTGCCTTTCAAGTTCGTGAAACCGCATGCAGAAGGAATCCGATTTTGGGTAAGGATGCCCACGAGTTCCGTCCATCGCGCTGGATGGAAGCGGAACCGCCAGGCAATGGTCTGAAACTTGTACCATTTGAGTCAATCAGTATAGGGTTAGCGATGATTGCGTGCCAATTGCAAACCCCATTCCTCGCAATCGTAGTGCTTGAGACAGAGTTTTTCTCCCGCGGATTTGATTTGTACGTTGTTAGACACGTACACCTAGGTGACAATCCTTTCTTCAGCTCCCAGCGGGTTGAGATAGACCAGAATTGTTGCTGATGCCGAGCGAGTCGCCGGATGCTGCTTATGAAGAGTACTTTTTACCGTTCCACTTGCCTGTGGAGAAAGCATAGTTACTATAAATTCCACCAGTACTCAGGTTGCCACTGGCAGTGAGTTGTTCGTCATTTCCAAACTGAAAGATTGTTATGGTACGAGTATAGATACAACAATTTGTGAATCGCTGGCCGCTAGGCTGCATCGAGAATTTGCTGTCTAATGAGCTGCGCTGTGGGATCTGTCGAATTCTCATCATGAAAATCGCCCGTGTAAATACGGTCCTCTGGAAAATGCGTCAGCAGCTTAATAAGTTAAGCTTCATGTCTGAGAGTAACCACTCACTGTCGATGCGGCCTTGCTTCCTGTAATCAAGAAAAATGTCGATTGCCGTCCAGAAGGAGGGCTCGTAGCTGGAAATGACCTCTTCCCATTCGTCATAGACGGATACGACAATTCTTGGGTCACGGATCGGTAAGCCGTGGAGATATTCCAGGAGATCAGGGACGAGGTAGGGGTTCAAGGTCTGTGAGGGCTCCATGAAGGCAAGGACCTGAAGAAAGGCGCAACCGTCCAAGATTTGCTGGACGGAATGGGCTGGTGGCTGGCTCTGAAGTGCAAGGTGGGTCAGGCTGGGCAGCGCCGTTAAGAACGGAACAATGCGAATGAGGTCGCGGGAGTGGCTGTTGTGGCCTTCGCTGTCGAACACATCGAGGTGCGTGAGCGCCGAGAACGCTGGTGCATGGTCTTTCATGAAGATCGGGTGCGGCATGAGATTTTCGAGAAAAGCCCCAAGGCGGCGAAGCGGCATGGTGGCCAAGATTGGAAATAATCTTGGGCCAATGTCCATTTTGTCAGTACCATTCACGGCAAATTCCTGGATCCGAGTGCAGGACCGCAGCGCATGGTAGGTGCGCTCCAGAAGGTCTTGAGCTGGTGTTCCAGAATGGGCCAGTTCGAGCACCACCACACGCACACTTTTTGCGAGAAAGGATTGTGGGCGGGCAACAGCGACATGGAAGAAAGCGTCTTGCGCGGGCTTTCGTTCAAGGTCGGTACTGATATAGACATGTTGGTACAGGAGAGGTTCGAGCCTAGATAGGTCAGCGATGCTCAAGACGCAATTTCAGTTATACATACCATATATGTGTGCGCTGAGCGACGCGGAGAAGTGTGGGGATGAAACTCCAGTCATCCTCAGCGCACATTTTGAGGATGGCCTGCTCAAGCTCCGGGGGAAAGCGACCCATGTTGCAATCGATATCGCGGATGGAAGAGCGCAGCAAAAAGGTCAACAGCACACTCGACGTGGGCGTAGTGTGGCGATCACCAGCGCCACTCGCGTGATTGCATTTCCCACCCTGGAAACGAAAGTGTTTCAAGAAAAGTCGATAAACTCCAGTTTCGGACTTCCACTGGTAAGTAGCCTGTTTCAAGGGAGAGACATAAGGACAAGGAAGTCCACAACGGAGTCGGATGCCTTTGGAGGTAAATCAAGAGAACACGCGGGCTCTGAAATCCGAGGAAAGATACGAACTAAAGGCATGTCGCATAACCGTGACGTCAATCAAAGTAAAATACACTCAGCTTCAAACGACGACTTGCTATGGCCCCGGGCAACAGCCACGACTCACGGGGCACCGCTCTTGACGATTCTGAAACCCGGAAGACCAACAGAGGACGACGCGGAACTCGTTGGGCAGTGAGCGCCCGGCGGAGGATACTATAGTAAGTATCAGTATCTTCAGGAAATCATTTTTATTTAGCCTGTGCGCAAGAGACAATATAGAGGACACACCGGTGTCTCGAGTGGGTTCCTGGATTGCTTGAGAGTAGACAGAGACCGTCACGGTGAAATAGAGGCGGAATCAGTGCTGCTGGTGAGGAACCATGGTCGAGGGCATCGCGGTCACGGTGACATCTCTTCTTCTCTCTTACCGTCACCGCAATGTTCATCCACCTCCCTAAGCCGTTCTGTCCACAGCTCGCAAAAACCTTCTCTCATCCTTGCTCCAAATCGAAGACTAAGTGGCGACAGCCCAGCGGACGAACTTGAGGGGTTAACTAAGGAGACTTTCAGAGAGCTGCCAAGATAGCAGGCGCCGCTGGGAGCAGAGTAAACGAGGGGACGAGCGGGACGAGCTTAGTTGGCAATGGAGCAATGTGCGTTTTCAGGTGCTTTGACCTTGTATTTGCAGCTGACTTCTGGCGTAGCAATAATCATACCCGCAGCTTTACGCTCAGCAGCCTGCCAGCAGGGCACACACGAGGATGGAATCTTCGGTGCTTCTAGCGTAGACCTAGGAAGGCAGCAGGCGCTGGAGGCGTTTGGATATAGGCGCGCGACAAATTACTCTTTTTCATCGTCGTCGATACTAACATTATCTCTCTCGCAGGATCGTTTTGACTTCATTTTCGGTCGTGATACCCCGACAATCTCATCTTCCTGTCAGAAGAGGCTCAGGACCCGTCTTTCTTACCGGATCTGCTCCGCCTAACGTTTTGCTGTGAGGAGAGGTGTGTATTTGGTACTCACCACCCATCTGCCGAATGCTGACCAAGTACAAAAGCCCTTCCCGCCATCGGTATCCTATCCACTGATACTCCGCAACAGCACGAAGAAACTGCGTTGGTAGTTGTGGAGAAGGCTTAGACAGCGAAATCGCTCGGTCTGGCTAAGCGTCGTCGCGCTCACGCTGGCCAGTGGGCCCACAGGTCTCCATAGCCTGCGTTCGTCCCAAGAAATCACGATGGCCGACAGAGTTACAACGCCCTCGCTTGTGCTGTCGACAAACACGTTTCAAGGTACGATCCACTTTTCAATCTAGCTTCCTCTATATCTGAAACGTATCGTTTAGCTACGATATCCACCTTTCGAGCAACATAATCATACCTTCGTGTCTAACTGCGAGCGAGCCGGGTGGTGCTAGGGGAGTGTTTTCGAGGAGACGGGGGCCACGACGTTGGGGGCGCGCAACGTTTCGTCAAAAGACTCGTCAGGTGGCAAATTCCCTATATATCTCACGGTCGGTGTCTGATCTCCTGATTGGAGTGCAGATCCTGCCAGTGGGCCATGTGGAATCCCTTGTGCATAGCAACGGACTCGACACAGGGCCCAGCCGCTCTGTTTTTCACAGTACAGTGGGTGTGTTGATAGTAGTCCTAGCATCTGACTACTTGCACTCTGTTGTCACTGTGAGCAGCAGTAGATTACTGCCCTTAGCCGAATTCAACTAGTGTTTAATCCCGGACGGATTTTCAAAATATATTAGTTGAACTCAAGGCCGAGGTTGCTGGAACCTGGTGGGGCTCGACAGCGCAGCACTCTACCACTTGCAATTAACAGAGGACAACAGTCTAAATTTGTGTGTGTACATTTTCACAATCCGAAGGGACACACCGCAGTAAGGCGCGGCCCCTCAGGGCCGCGCGCGGTGTGTTCCGAGGATTGTGAAAAAAACAAATCTAAACTGCAGTCACTATCGACTCGTGGAATGCCTCCAATGTGTGACGATTGTGAGTGTTCAGTCGGTCACCCAGTGCAACTGGCTTTTGGAAGGAGGCCATGAAACGGAAATCCGGGTAGCCTGTACCGGAAATGCGCCATGTCTCAAGCAAGTCGTGCCAGATTGGTTTGAGGTCGATTTCATCCCAACTTGGGTTATGGGTGAGTTTGAGGACGTGCAACATTGATTCATCTGTGCTGGCATGCAGAGCATTTACAGCATTCAAAGCTGAACTGCGTTCAGATTTGTAATCAATTTCCTCGAATACACAAAGGAGCCAACGTCCCGGGTATCCACGCTCACGCAGACGTTGTAGAAATATTGTCCGAATTTTCATAAAGTCGCGTTCACGTGAACAGATCCGAACATATCGGATCAGTTCACCTTTCACCCAGGCTCGCTTTGAGTCTAGGGAGTGGCATGAATTCCAGGGTATGTATAAGTACGCATTCAAAGCCTTCTGATAAACATCTGTGACAATACGGAATTGTGGATTGAATGCTGGGACTGAGCGGTCCAGCTCCATCAGTACCGTAATATCCAGAAATGGCAGTTTGAATCTTGACACAGACCACTCCATTTTCATATTTGGGTGGAGGTTGCCAAAGCGGTGCTGGTAGCGACGAACATCGTGTTCAGTTCCATGAATGATTGCAAATGAATCATCTATGAAACGACGGTAGAACAGGATTATATCACCAAGTTCAACCAGCGCGCGCGACTCATACGGGGCAAGGAACAGGTTTGTGTATGTAGGTGCGCAAGCAGTGCCCATTGCCGTACCGACAATTTGCCGGTACGTTTTTCCCGCAAATGCGACGTAATTGTACTGCAAAATCATTCGAAGCAGGAGAACTATAAGTTCTCTGCGAGATTTAAACTGTACATTGGCAGCGTCCTTGGTATCATGGAATTCCATGGGACCAGTCTGAAGTAAGGCAGCAATCTGGCGAATGCCGTCCTCCGTCGGGATGTTTGGGTACATCGCTGTGACGTCTCCAGAGACGAGCCATATGTCGCGGCCCCTTGGGAGTTTGACATCAAGGATGTCCCGACAGAAAGTTTTCGAATCGGGGAGAATCCACGGAAACAAGTCCAAGAGGGGCTTAATCTGGTAATCAACCCAGGCTGATGCATTTTCAAGAAGTGTATCAAACATGGGGACAATGGGTCGACCAGATATTGGGGTCTTATGGATTTTGGGAATGACCTTGAGGATAGGTATTTTAGTCCTACCCTCCACGACCGGAGCTCGAAGCCAGATCCACTGTTGTTCGGTGACAAACAGTCTCGCACGTGAGACTATGCTCTTCAGCACCTTGTGGAGCAGATAGTGGTCCGGTTCAGCATGCTCATATGAGTCATTCTCCAATAGTTTCAGTCCT